TTCTCCCCTGAGGTTGACAAATGGATTACTACCTACCTAACGCCTGCTTCCTTATCTATGCAAAGACAGGAAATTTCCTAAGCCGTGTGGTATATACTACGTCTTATTGAAAATTTTCAAGATTTGGGATTGCAGTTCGATTTAACTAAAAACGTTAACTTGATTGAAGAATCTGACTCAATTGACCAATATGAACAATTTGATTTAACTGAACCAATTGAACAATTGGATTCAACTAATATATTTAATACCTTCATTGAAGATTCAATAGATGTACAAGCTATTTTAATTAAAGAATTAGTATCATCTACCAAAGTTGAATCAATTCGTGAAATTTGGGAGGTTACCTGGCATAGACACAAGGTAAAAAATTATGTTGTATTGTTTAAAGATAATTCACACCTATGTACATGCCTTGGTTTAATTTGGTGTGGTTTGGTATGCAGACATTTCTTCCAAGTTATGACTATCTCTAATTATGCTGCATTCCATATTATGCTAATCTCGAAAAGATGGTACAATGACGAAAAACAAATTGAACCAGAGTCAGAAACACAACAGCATCCTTTTATCTTTGGGCTAGATAGTACAAAGGCCTTGATTAATATTGAACAAACATTTCCCAATTTATCTTTTCGATTACTAGACATTTCATTTAGCGATGTACATACTAAAATTAATCATCGCAAGGCCTATATAACTGTTAATGGTTTGTCAAAAAAAGCTATTCAAACTGAACTAGATGCTGGTCCCAATGCAATAAAAGAACTCGAGAGCTTTATGAGTGGTTTTATTAGTAAATATACACCGAAAAGATAAATCGCAAAAGAATTGAAAGACAGCAGGAGGACGAAGATGAAACTACTTCAAATTCTAGTTCCAGTGATAAAGAAAATTTTATTAATGTTGAAAATCTGATAGTGCATTCAAAAAGAGGCGCACCAAGGAAAAAACAGCTTAAAGAATCTAATGAATTAGTCAACAAATATATATCTAGTGCTAAACAATCAGAAATACATAAGGCAAGAAAACCAACTCAATGTCAGCAATGTCATAATACAGGACACAACAAAGCTGGTTGTGAGGCATAGCACAAATGGCAGGATATTTCATACTCATATTAAATGAGTTTATATTTTGAAATATGTATTAATTAGATTTAGATGATTGAGTTATATGTTTAATGGTGAGCCTGTGTGAACTTTAATATTGAATTTAAATACCATTCACTATTTGTTATAAATATATTGTCAAAGATTAATATGTAACACACTGAATGTATGCATCTAAGCAGAATTAGTTCTGCTTAGATGCATGCAACTTAATGTTAACATATCGATATTGGTTGCACCGTTACTAACGCTAATAGTATTGATTATTACTAGTGAAACAAATTGCTAAAATTATTAAATGCTTTGTTGTACATATTAAAAGATAGGGCCTTAGTGTCATCAACTTAACTATTTTTGTTAGAGTATTTGATATAGTAGGGAATTTTTAGATTGGTGACGGCCAGGGTCATTATTGAAAGGTGAATTTTAACTATATAGTAGCGAACTAGTATATTGTTTATTTGCAAAGATCATTATCATTTTAGGAGTAAAACTGGAAATTAAAGTATCAGGTAAAATAACCATTCACCTTATTTTTGGCAACTTATTTAAAAGACAGCTAAGTTATTATGATTTTACCTGGTTCTTAAGATTTTAGTTAATTAAAATTTACTTCTTGATTGGATCTTCCCCAGTATCGCTTTAAAAAAGCATAGTCACGTGAAAATTAAAAAATCCTTTAAAGTTCATTTAGGTTAGGGTTAAGGTTAGAGGAGCTCTAATAGTAAAATCGCTCAAGAAAACCTTTTTGTTAGAGCACTAAAGGTAGTTTCTTACACTGCTTTTTAAGAAAAAGCAATTTTTGGCAAAGCGAACGTTTGTTTTGAATCTCCGGATTGTGTAATGTTTAGAGTTTGGAACTGGGTTTATTTTTCATATGTTAAAATCGATTAAACCCGGTTTTAATATATGAAAAATAAACCTGGTCCCAAACTCTAAACGTTACACCTGATTAGGCAATACTAGGTAGTTTTGTGATTGGCAGTCAATCATGTGACATTCGTGTTAAATAATACTGTAATAATTATATATAGCATTTTAGGCCAATCATATAATCTATATAAATCACATGATGCGGGTACATGTACCTTCGGGTATATATATATAAACTCATATATAATTATTATATTTTATAAATATTTTTAATATATATTAAATATAAAGTTATAACAGACTTAACATAGATATTTTAAATTGTTTAACTAATATAAAAATAATATTAAAATTATTAAAAAATTGTATAATATTTTTATTATATAATTAATATAATATTAATATAATAATAGAGATGTGGTGACTTAGTGTAGTGGTCTAGTCGTCACTCTCTCCAAGTGGCAGATCTAGAGTTCGAATCTCACGGACGACAATATTTGAAAAATAGGCTTGTGTTCGGTTGACGGCTATGCATATAGTTGGATCTAATAGTCTGTAACTTCGGTCACACCATCTAGTAATGGGAGCAATGGTACAATAAATCCGAGGAACTGGCATAACCGAAAACCCATTTGTGAAGTTCCGAGTGAGGAGTAACAATGATCTTCGATGGTATCACAAGAGGGCTGAATTCGAACTGGGGCCTGAGATCGGAGAACCGAACAACCAGGTCCTAATGGCGGAGGACACACCAGCTGAACCGCCAGGTTTTGTCGCACCAGAGGAAAAGGACATATACTCTGAAAGTATGTACCAAGGAGAGGGCATCCTTCAGGTACCTAAAGCCTGGGCAGACCGACCCTTCCGGGTTGCCGGCTGGAAATAAGAGAGAGACTGATAAGAATCCGGGCAAGAAGACAGTTCAAATGTGGGTACCAGAGTTGTTGGAAACCTAATAATGGTGGAAGTAGGTAATCACAGGGGTTTAATAGTTAGCCCTGACCCCAAGTATATGGGTAGAGCTGTGGTGCAGGTTGCCGAAGTCTGGATAAATATATGTGTGGGACATGTAAGATCTAGCAAATGGGAATACCCTACTGGAGGCACCCGGAGTCAGGGTAAGCAAACTTTACGGGATGTGTTGACCAATGGTGAGGTAAATAGGGGTTAATCACAACTATATTGGGCCGTAAGGTTTGGTACGTCTCACTCTAGGTGGTTCTAGAAATTCGAGAACTGAAACACTGCAGGGGAGAGACCTGGAACATCTGCGGTAGGAGATGACTAATTAGGAAGGTTGTTGCTTGAGATACAGATTGGGTTTTGGCAGTGCCTTAAAAGGTAGCTTGAGATACAAACTTGGTGATGGCAGCATAACAGGTACTAGTTAGAAATTTGTTACCAATGATGTACTGAAAATCTTAGTAAAAATAATGTATACTTGTATACATTCCACCATAATAAGTAATAAAGAGGCAGTGTCATTAAAAAATATATATATATATATATATAATAAAAATATTTTGCAAAATTGAAAAATCCAGTAAAGAATTTTTCTAAGCCAAATAAGTCTAAGACTACTAAAAAGGCATACTTTTGGAAATATTTTGAAGATAGTGAAGATATTTGCAAAATAGTTGTGTCTAGAAATAACTAGAAAGTTGAATGTAATAAAAATTATAAGTATAATGGAGGAACTGGAAATATGAAAGCACACCTATGAACAGTGTATGGAATTTTGGAACCCGATGAAATAACATTGAGTTCAGGTCAACTAAACATAAATAAAATGATTAAAAAAGTAGTCCCACACAAAGAGTCTAAACAATTAGAGTTAAAACGAATTACAACTGAATAGATTATAACAGACTCTTTAGCATTTAATGTTGTAAATGGAAAAGGATACTTAAAAATGATAAAATGATTTGATCCTGTGTTTAACCCACCAAATTACAAATGCATTAGAAAAAACATTGATATTGCCTATCAAAAAGATATCATAGAGCTTAAGAAATTGCTTGCAGTTACCTGTGAAACAGTATCCATAACCACAGATTTGTGAACTTCACATGCCAATGATGGGTATATCAGTGTAACTCTTCACTGGTTAACACCTAACTTTGAAGTTCATGACGTACTACTAGCTATCAAAAAGTTTGATTATCCGCATATAGCGGAAAGAATTAAAGAATTTTTAAATACTATAGTTAAAGAGTTTGAATTAGCAGGAAAAATTGTTTGTGCCATAACTAATAATGGAGCAAATATGAAAAAAGCAATAAAACTTTGGAATAGTGTGAAATGCTTACCTTGTGCTGCACACACACTCCAACTTATAGTTTTTCAAGCTTAAATTTTTCTGATCTCCTAAACAAAGTTAACGTCTCAACTAGGTGCAAATTGACTTGGCAAATCATAATCAAACTCATACAAAACCTATCCAACTTCATGATTCCGAAGATACACATGAAACCCCACCTAAAATAGAAGATAATGAAGAGGTGGGAAGTTATGAAGCACTATCCATTTTGCGTACTATTGAAGACACAAGGACTCGTTGGAATTCATCTTACCAATCTTGGCAAAAGCTCTTAAAATTACGTTCAGCAATTAAATGGCTTTCTCGAGTTTTACCCCTGCAAGATAAAGAATATGCCGCTAAATTAAATAAATGCATGCTTAAAGATGATGAATGGCAGTTATTAAAAGAGTTAGTAAAAGTATTTAAACCATTCGACGAATTGACGACTTACTTTAGTAGAATACAATATGCCACTCTTTCGGTTGTCAATCCAAGTATAGAAGCATTAAGTTTGAATTTGCTGACAGTATGTTTAATGAAAACATTATGGAAGTTTTCAATTATAGTAAATAATAGTTGTTTAATTTTATTATCCCTTAAACTGTAAGCAATTCCAGGCAAATTTGCCTGGAAAATTGCTATAAATTTGCTTATGATTTATTT